AATGGTCATGACGAAAAAATTTCTTTTCTTTTTTTTTTTTCGTTTTGTTGAGGTGTTAAGTGTCGGTGGAGAGATTTAAACCTAAATAATGGAATTAAACTACGAATTCGAACCTTCTACTTTTTTTTTTTTGGTCAATAACATATACCTTAATGGGTTAATTATGATTAGATTTAAGAAATTAAAACTATTTTTTGTCTCATCTCAACGTTGAAATTATGTTGGGTTTTCTTTTCAAGATGATAAGCTAAAGTATTGGCATTGATAAATGAGGTGTCAATATAAAGACCTTTCAATTCCACTGGATAATATTTCTTTTAAAATCAATAATAAATTATCATGGGACAAAATTTTGACCAATTAGATCGAAACAAATAGATAAATAAAGATTGGACATTGGCCAGTAATCTGGTGTCAGTATAAGGACCTTTCATTTGGATTGTAAGTCATTATCAAATTATTTTTAATAACAAAATTAGAATAAGATCATAATAAATAATAAATAATATATCTTTTTTTTAAATAAAGTTCTACAATTTTTTAGAACCACAACCTTTTAGGTGGTCGTACAGTTACTTTAACTAATTTGACTATGTTCAGGTCCACCATACGAGAAACTCAATTCCGCACCGCTGTTGAGTCGTCGGACTTATCCACCAAGGAAATAATATTGAAAAAATTAAAAAAATTAGGCCTCCAAAATTTGAATACTATACTTTATTTAGACTTTGATAGTAGTTCTACAGAGTTTTCTACTCTTATCACTGACGTCGTTAACTAAATTAACTTACTAACAAAGTAATTGTTAACTAAATTAACTTACTGACAAACAATGATTACTGTTTTAAATTAGGGCTAATTTGACATGTTATAGCAAAATGCACTAGACGATCAAAAATAAGATAAAGTGTCACTTTATTTTGTCTGGTTGGTAATCAATATTTGTTGAATAAGTATACCACATCATAATATAATTGACGATATTGACAATAAATACGACATAGAATCAGAATACAAAGTTTGGGCATGTAATGGTAGCTTTTTAAAGTTTAGGACGATTAAACAAAGATGACTATAAAGTTCATAAACTAAAATTTTAATTTAACCTACTTCTTATTATTATTAGGTTTAAAAAATATTATTATCCCTCTACTTTCAACTTTGGTTCATCTCAGTCTCTGTATTTTCAAAACGTTCATTTTAGTCCCTATATTTTTGAAAAGTGGTCATTTTGGTCTATTCATTTTCATTTTTTTATCTCATTTCATTCCATCATAATTGTAGCATTACACTTGATCCACTAAATTTCTTGACATGTAGCCATAAATTTGTATTAAAATGTTTCTATTTTGTGTATAAAATTTTGCATTTTTCGAAATTACATAGAATAAAATGAACAAAAGTTAAAAGTACAGAGATCAAAATAAACGTTCTCAAAGTGCAGAAACCAAAATGAACCAAACTCAAGTGTATATAGACCAAAATTGTATTTAAACCTTATTATTAATTTATTAATTTGCATAGGCATGGTTTAAATGTGCATATTATAAAGTGTGACTCTTTAGTATATAGTTTGAGAAGTAGTTGTTTGGCTTGTACGCACCGCCCAATAAAGGCCTCTTTTTGCAGGTGTGGCAGAGTCATGTGCTACTCAAAATTTATTTGTTTGCTTATGTTGGGTAGTTACTTCAAACTAAAGTTTATTTGGGATTTTAATAAATAAATAAAAAGAAAAAATATTTTTAAAAAAGGTTATTTTAGAATTAGTTTTTTATGATTTTTTTTAATACTTTTATGATCAGTTAGACAAGGGGTGAAATATACATAGTATTTATAGAGAAGATTGCGATTTTAAGTTTCATTTCAAATGGTATTTTTAAAATCTTAATTAATTTGAAAAATAAAGAGAAGATTTTATTTTTTTACCCCTAAATTTAATTTGAAAGTTGTATTAATTTTTATTATAAACTTTCAATTTCATTAAATTAAATTATAAATTTATTGACAATTTTTTACCCTTTATTTAATTTCTACTAATTCACCAATTAATTTCAATATAAAATGTCAAAGCAGGTATAGTTGAGTAGTAATTGACATATATCTCCAATAAAAAAGGTTGCGAGTTCATCCTCATCCTATATCCTATATGTTGTACTAAAAAAAAATTCAATATAAAATAATGTAAAAAACTCTTACAGTTACTCTTCAATGAAAACAAATGTCTGCACACAAAATTAAGTTCGAATAATGCACAAAATTAAACATTAATCAACACTCAAAACTTAAAAATTATAAAAAAAAAAGAAAAAAATTTCGCTTTGGTGTTGTTCTTTGTATGAATTTTATCAATTTCGTACCACATATTTGTTTTATAATTTATTTGATATAAACGAGAATACTTTTTCCAAAAAAATTTTAAATAAAAACTCATCAGAGGGTAAATTTTGCAACATTTTTTAAAGTTTAGGATAAAGATGTGTAATTGGATGAAATTGAATAAGATGCTCATAGTCGAAGGTTACAATTGATTTTTTCAAAAAAATAAATTAATAAATAAACAAATTTTTGAAAACTTGTTTTAAAATTTTTTAAATTGTGATTCATTTAATCCTTGAGATTAATATTATTTTTATTTTTAATAAAATAAATAAACAATAAACTAGGAGAGAGTCATCCACATCAATTTCATATCTTCAAGATGAGAGAGTCATTCAATTAAAAATTTTATTAACAATAATTTCTTCGATACTTGGATGACCAATGTAACATTCTATTCTATTCTTTTCTTTTCTTTTTTCCAAAAGTTATATTTAAAAAAATATATATGGATTTTACAATCTTGACATCGAGACACAAATGGATTAAAGAGACTTGTCAATAAGGCAGCAGAACACCAATAAGAAAGTCATCCATACAATAAAAGTTATCCCACCAAGTAGTAGCACAAGCATAAACATCCCCTGAACGAAATGTAATTATGAGTCAGGCGAGAAGCACCCCACGTATCCTGGAATTAACTACGTTCTATCCACATATGAGAAATAGAAGCAACCCAAACAATCATCCATATTCTATATGTAGGTGAACGACCTCTACTAATTCCTAAATAGGTAAATATGATGTCTTCCAATACAAATCATACCACCTCAAACAATTTTTTAAACCTACACTCAAAGAAAAAATGGTCTCGAGTCTCAATCTCATCAAACAAAGAACACATGAAACTGATATTGAAAGACACCAAGAATGTATACGATCCCAAGTCGACGGACGATCACGAATATTGCAAGCGATCAATGGAGATACGTGGCCATTGTCGTCACAGACCATCTAGACCTAAGAAATTAGAGACTCTCACCATAGCTAGCAACATCAAGAATCTCTACCCATATTTCTACAACAAGAGATCTAAGAAAGCCAAGAATCCAACCACACAAAATTTCGTCGACCATCTCTGACAGTATACCTAACAAAGAGACGAAACCAATTACAAACATTCAAAAAGCTTTTTCTTTTTTTTTGGTATTGTTTTAACGTGATTAATCTGGTAGTCTATCATATATTAACATTTTCCTATTTAACCTCTCAACCTCTCACCGTTGGTAAATTTTAAAATTGATTAATGATAAATTTATATGACATAATATTTAATGATTTAACAAAAATTTAGGAGAGGAAAAGATCATTTAGGATATGAAAGTTTCTAATTTCATCCTTCTCAAAATTTATAAAAAAATGGTAGAAATTTCAAGTTCGCTTCCTTTAATGAATTTTTTTCTGTAAATTTCTGCCCATTCAATATGTGAGGTAAGTTTTTCATAATCAAAGACAAAGGGATTAAATTGAAAATTATTAAAAATATTAGAGACTAAATCGAACTTTTTAAATAATTGAGACTAAATCGAAAGGCAAAGGGAAAAAAACTCTTGCAAGACCTATTAAATTTTGGAGACTAAATTTATACTTTAACCATGTTGTAAATTTTAATTATTACTTTACAATTTATTCAAAATGCTATTTAGCCATTAAGCATTAATAATTTCCCCATTATGTGATTGAAATACTCTAAAGAACAAAATTTTAAAAGAAATGTTTGAGAAAAAATCCAGATTAGTGTAACAGTGATAGACAATTCAAATAGTACAAGGTCTCTTCATGCATTAATTTAAATCAGATATGGTCACATCAAATCATAATAATTACAAATAACTTTTTCCTACCCATATTTTTTGCAGTGTTTTATAGAAAGAAAAGGAAAAATATCTTCAATAATTATTTCTTGTTTTATTCAGAAAAATAATAATAAGTATTCTTTCCTGCTTTTCTTTTCCTTAATCCTTATGGAAAAATGAAATATAATTATACTTTAAAAAAATTAAATACTATTTTGATGGATGTCTTTTGAAATTTAGTTGATTTTCTTTCAAAACATATATTTCGGTCATAATATTTGTTCATTTTAATTCGTATACTTTTAAAAATATTTGTTTTAGTTTATGTACTTTTAGAAATAGACTATTTCAACTCTTATTCAATTATTTGTAAAATTTTAACATAAGCTTTATGCCTAATGAAATTTTTTTAATATAAATTTATCATTACATTTCATACAAATTTATTACTTCGTTTTAAAAAAATTTAATACATGTTAAAATTTTAATAAAATAAATAAAGTGAAAGTGATTAAAATAATCACATTTTTAATCATTAAAAAATATCACTTTTTTAAGTGAAAAATATAAAATGATCTTTTTATTTATTCATTTTGAACAATTGAAAAACCGAAACAAAAAAATCAAAATTTTAACTTCCTAGAGTTCATACACACTTTGAAATTAATTCTTAAAATGAAAAATAAAAAATAAAAAACACTAGCATATGGTAGAAAACAAATCATTACCCATGGAAACTTGATTTCTTTTATAACTATTTTGCACACTATTTTTAGTACTGTTTTTTTAATATTTGTGTGTCCGAACCAACTTGTGAACACCTTAACGTTGGACCAAATCTTTTAACATTATTCCCTCTACCAAAGTAAAAATGATATGAATCTGAAGCAGTCATAATAATGAAGCCAATGGCTGCAAAAATCAGTCAAATATGGCTCATAGTTCAGCAAAATAAAGATCCATTTCTACCCCTTGGTCTAGTCTTCATCCTTTCACCATTGAAAGGAGATAATATTTTCCCATTCTTATGATACACAACCAATTCCTTGCAAAAACTAGAGATGGTTTAGGTATTACTGAGATGGAAAATGATCTATTCATACTTCTTTCCCTTGAATGATCCTTTTGGAATCTTGCTTAGGACACTGGAATCGAGCTTCTGGTAGTGACCGCGGAGTTGGTCGAGGACCTTGTATGCGAAGCCATCTACTTCGTCTTCGTATTTCTCGTACAGAATTGGAAGCGTATGGGCTGCAACGAAACCTGAACAGATTCGAAGTGTGTTAGTTGTGAAGATGTGGGACAGGATGTCAACAAAGAAGCAAGATAATTCATACACTTCCATTGATCACATCGTACTTCTATTCTACCATGAGTGTTCCGAACAAACAACTTACGTTCTTCTCTCGACTAATTTCACAGGACGAGCATTTCATATGACAATTGTAACTAATCATGCTTACACTCATCTTAACTAGTTTCATATGATAATCGTCTAATCCTGCAATATTTGGTGCAATATTTGGGGTAGGATATTTGAAACAAGCAGCCATCATGGCTTGAATCTACGACCTCGAAGACATGATCTAGATTTGCTGCGAACTGCGATATTTCATTCACTGGGTAAATAATAAAGAGAGATGGGCAAGGTTTTGAGATGCAGAATCTGTTACCACTCACCAATATACAAGACAGTTATGAAATTGCACCAGCTACTAATCACAGCACCAGCCCACAAGCTTACTACAGCCTGCAAATATATTCACATTAAAGCAGCATCTCCAAGAAAATTAAAAAAAGAGAGAACAGTAATCAAAACCAAAGAAACTCTACCAGTATTACACATTGAAAAACTGAGCAAGCATATTTCCCATTTAACATGTTTTGGTGTTCACATTTTCTGTAAAAGATTTTTTTTTTTTTTTCATATTTCTTTCTTTGGCCACTTGTGTCGATTTCTTCAAAAAAAATGGCATTCATCGACAAAGCTAGTTCATGGTAGATCTTTCAGAACTTATAGCTTAAAATTGTTATTTGGCAAATGGCATTCTTAAATTGACGCCAATAAGAATGCTACCACTACCCTCAAGGGGCAGCCGGTTGGTATAGACTTGGGGTGTCTTGAGTCTTCGTTATACTGGCTCAGAGGTCTCAAATTCGAACTTTTCAGTAAGCTTAATACCAAAAACTCTTGATGTCTCCCGGGTCCGGACCTTGGGGTGGACGCGGGAGGGGAGCAAAGCCCACACTCCTAGTTATCAAAAAAAAAAAAAAGAATGCCCTTGTGACCATGAGCACAGTTTCTTGCATGCTCAGATGATTTGAAGAAAAAAAAATGTGAACCATTTTCTTGTACTGTAATACTCAGATATGAATAACTTGTGCACCAGATACACAATTGCAAAGCAAGTACAGAGAATACGTTAGCATACCACAAGAAAGTGTTTCAAATTTCCTTCACAAGCAACATCTTGGAGATAACCCAGAGCTCGGTTAACCTCTGCACCAACCGAAACAGCAATATTGACAAATAGTTCCTCAGGAAGAACAAGGCGAGGAACCCTGGACGATGATCTGAAGTGTACGAAATATATTATGGAATGCAGAAAATGCATTGAAGTCAACGAAAAACAAAGGCATAAACATGAATTTTTCAATCACCTGTTCACAAATCCAGAGGCATTTGTCCAAATAAACTGAGCCAACATACCAAGAACCAAAGCAAAGCAAACAAGAGTCAAGAAGTGGTAATTAAGCCATTCAAACAGCACCCATATAATTGTTGCACCACTCAAAACACTAGCTGAGATTTTCTTGTTTCTCCATAGCAGCACATCAGCAGCTACAAAGATTTGGGTCAGCAGAGAAATCAAATTGAAAAGTAATCTGATTTGTAACATGAGAGAGATTATGGAAGATGAAAAAAGACTAATATATATGTACGGATATACATTTTCCACCCCCAAGAATATGGTGAACAGGTTTTTGGCGTCCAAATAGCCGATTGATCTGACTAGCCACTGAACTTGATTTACTATCTTCCCCAAAAAACGACACTGATTTTGCCTTTTGACCTTGTTCGGCAAGAGTTTCGGCAATATTATGCAAAATATCCTCAGCAGTTATCTTCTCAGACATTTTTCTTGTGCTTCAGAAAATAAATGACAAGAAAAAGGAAGCCAAAGTTAAGGACTAAGTTGTTCTACACCAAAAGGGTAGATTTATAATAATATGAACAAGCATACAATATGAATTATGGCTATGTAAAAGAGTAAAAATGTAACACAAGAAATTTAAATAAGAGTCAATAAGATGTATTAGAGTAACTCTATAGGAAAAGGAGCCAATCTAGGTTTAAGGTTCAGGATCAAATGATAGGAAAAAGTTTGGGCAGGATATCCAACTTATGCTAATGCTTTTCTCAGACTTTGAATCTTGTTTCTAGAAGGAACCCAAGTGAAAGAGATATTAAAGGAGGGGCGGCACACTTCCTTCAAATGGATCGACCAACTATTAGGGAGGGTCCTCATGTCTCAAACTCTACATGGTTAAGTCTTTTCTAGTTTGCTTGTCAAGATAAGTATTGATCTTCCTTTAGGCCAGTCCGAGCTGCTATGGAATGCTCAAATTTAAAATCCTCAATCAATATCAAATTTTAATTTGGTCTCTTGTTCACAGCAGAATCAGTACTTCTGACAGTGACCTCCAATGGACATATCCTTCATGGTGATGAACTAGTAGATATGTTCTTTGCAATGCTTACCTAGAGAAACTAGATTAGGTCTCATTTTATCTGGAAGTTCTATTACCAGTCTATAGTCCAGTTCAGTCTAAGATTGACCGTTTCCTCGAAAATTTCCTTCAAAATTTTCTTTGTTGTCCTTTGGGAACCATAGGAATAAAAGGGTAGAAAACTACTTCAGCTTTGAAATCAGGTTGACTATCTTTTATGATTGCTGGCTTTTGGAGGATGCCAAACTGTTTATACCTTTCTTAATGGAAAGTGTGTTTCTTACCAAAGAAACCATAAAAAGAGCCATCAACTTCTACAATTCTCAAAGAAAAGCAAGAATTCAACAGGCTATCCATTTCAATATGCAATTAAAATCTCCCAATAACAAATTCGGTACGATACTTTTTGATAGTAATCATCCAAGAGAAACTATAAATTCTGTCACATATAACAATAATTTTTATCTACCAAATGGATTAGATTTTAAAACCCTAGCGTGTCATGGAAATGTTGGGCAAGAATAACATAATCAAAATCATCTGTGGACTCTGATAGGATTGGTGTCTAGGGTAATAAAGGGATATTATTAGGGCATTGAGGGTACTTTAGTAATGAGATAGGAAAGTAGTTAGGGAGAGTGTTATAAATAGAGTGTGGGTGTAAGGATGGAGGTATCCAATGAGTGAGTATGTTTGAGGCTTGAGTGACATCTCAAGAGGGGATATTATTAGGGTATTTATTAGTGTTATAAATATCCTAATAATATCCCTTTATTACCCTACGGACCAATCCTATCAGACTCCAAATAAATTGGCCGGATACCAAGAGCCCTTGCCAGCGACATACACAGAGAGAAGGGCAATAGTTGGAGAAAATTACATTTAGGAAAAAGGCGTAAACTGACCCGAATACTCAAAGGTATAAAATATAAGTACATTCAAGAAAAATAAAATAAAATAACAACGAATCTATAGTGGTGAAAGCAGGCATGCCAAAGACGGCATATCTATTTCATTTGACAAAAACTATGTACTGAATTCTGAGTTATAACAAAAACTACATTTTTTCATTATTAATCACAAGGACACAAGGTGTGAAGAGTGTGAGAAAGCAAGAAAATTGATCAAAAGCATGTTCAAGTCTAGTTACCTCCGCAATTAAAATTTCATTTGTTAAGAAATGGGGTACATATTGAGCCAAATGAAAAGGTTACAAACTCTGAGGGTGTGTAAAGCCCCCACTAGGATAAAACTATTACTGGTGCGTTTGACAGTGCTTTTAAAATAAATAGTTTTAGCAAAAATACTTTGATTTCAGGCATTTTAGTAAAAAAATTAAAAAATACTTAATGAAAAATCACTTTAATGTTCAGTCTTAAAATTGTTTTTAAGTTATTCTGCAACAATCACTTAGGATAAAGTACTTCAGAATGTTTTTGACATTTTCTAAAAACACTTATAAATCACTTTCTATAGTGATATTTTTAAGTTGGAAGCGCTTTTGTGCACGGAAAAATGCTTTTCATCATGCCAAAACTCAAAAGTACTTCCAAACTTACCAGTTACCCTACATGTAACTTCTCCCTTCCAAGTTAATCATATAAATACTGTGATTACATCGTGAAGGGCACTCCAACAAGAGGCAAAAAATAATACGAAATCACAAAAAGAGTCAAAGGGCTGTATATCTCCACACCACACCCACAGTAAATTAAAAATTTCCATAACTTCTAAAAGCTAACATTGGTCTAACTCCTAAGTCTTGCTTCTGATAAACAACATCAGCACATTGATATTTCTTTCAGCCTTTCAGGTCGGCCAGAGTTTGACAGAAACCTTGTATGAAAAAGATCAAATCGAGGGGTTTAAAAAGTAGAATTCATTCTTTAGAAAGTTTCAATGATTTTAATCCTGTGAAAAAAGTCTGCCACATTTCTTAATGATTTCGTATTAAACAAACTAAAGCCTAGTAAAGGGTTCCGATTAACACCACCACCACCCCCCAAAAAAAATACTGAATAGAACCGACCAGGAAGCATCCGGATATGGTAAAATTGCATTGAAATGTCATAAACGTGGAAGGAACACAAACTTTAACCAAAACTTTCAACTCAAATGCAAAATCCATCCAACATACAACATTTCAACAACCCAGGAAGAGTTTATCAAGTACAAGCAAAATCAGAAGCAATCCAACCTCATTCAACCAGAAATTCAGACACAGTAATACAAGATAAAACGAGGAGGAATCCTTCAAAAGATAGTGACCGTACAGAGGAGAACGAACCAGATTTAAGATTAGAGAAACAAACAGAGAGACCAAAACTCCAATATTTCAACCACCCCGAAAGCCAAGCAGAACTAGCAGCAGTTTAACCCCATTTATGCATCAAACAAACAAATTAAAAATACATAATCCGGTTACAGAAAACACGAAACAAGTAAAAATCAAGGAAAAATTATGAGATAAAACTCAAGAACAAACCAGGCGCAGGAGATTAATGGGTCTTGTAGTAGGATTGGAGAAGAAGAAAGCGAAGAGACAAATGATAATGGGTTCTGTACAAGTCTGTTTCAGAACTACACGAGAATGGGGGGTGAAAAAGAAGACGAGGAGAAAGAAAGAGCTATGTGATTCCAAGACATGGAGGATAAATGGCGTGGCATAGCTGACATGCTGAAATTATAAGGCGGGCCACCACCTACCCAGATGCAAAATTCCCTTTTTGTGGGTGAGTTTCTTCAAGTGGATATTAAAAAATTTTCCCCTTTTCACTTTCTCTTCCACTTTCTCGGTTGCATTTTAACGGACGCCAAACACGAATTCCTTTCGAAATGCTGTAGATTTTTTTCTTCAATTTTCGCCATTGGACGATTAATTTTTCTTTTTTCCATCTAATTCAGTGGTCAATGGCGTCCTGATTTCAATGATCAAAAAAGTCCAAATTGGATTGTTTATTTGAGAAGACTAAAGAATATAGATCAAACCAAACACATCATTATCAAAAAAAATTGGATCTTGGGTGAAGTTTGAAAATCATATATGATTTTACATTTTATTACAACAATATCAACTTGATTAGGTGAAGTAATGATGGGTCAATCATGTGTTTGAAATATATATATATATATATATATCTTTTTTTAAGTGAAATACTTCTATAACATTACTTGAATGCTTTAAGATTGACTACTTTTATAATTTTTCAAATTATTTTGATTACCAATATTAATTGGTTGCATGTAAAATACATCTTATTTTTCAATTAAATTATTATTATTATTATTATTCTTTAATAAAATAAAGAAAAAAATTGACAGGAATGAAATCATTAATTAAAAACTCGTGAACACAATTTGAAAAAGGTAACTGTGTAGCATATATGTTTGTGAGTGGAAGGTTTGAGTAGTGCAGTGTTAAAAATGAAAAAAGGAAACAAAAATTGTTTATTAGTTTCTTAATTTTTCTCTTATTTTTTAATCCTTGCTTTGGCCCATCAAAAAAATTCATCTAATCAAATAAAAATTAAATTCAAAACTAGAATATTTAGACCGTATGATAGCCATTTTGTTTTCTAATTTTGGTTTTTAGTTTCTAAAAAACAATAATATTTGATAATCAATTTAATTTTTAATTTTTGTTTTTCAAAAATAATTTTAAAATTCTATGTAAATAAAAAAAAAGTAATATTTAAGAATAGATTTCTATTTTTCAAAATCTCATTTTTTCTTTTAATATTCAAATTTTTTTTCTTTCACATATTTATCTCTAATAAATTTCTTTCTCATTCTAAAAAAATTTTCTTCATAAATATCTCTCTAAAAAAATTATTTTTCTGTTTCTAAAATTTAATATTTTAAATATTTTTCATTATTTTCATATGTCTCGTCTCTACGTATATTTATCTTTTTTTCTTTTTTTTCCAACAGATAACTCTACTTCTCTCTCTACAAATTTCAACATTCAACAAAATTACCTAATTTGTCTATTAAAATTTTAGCATACTTTATTCTTCTTTTCTAACACTCTGTGATATGTTTCTCCTATTTTTTGATGGCACGTGTCTCTATTTTATTCGGAAGCTAAAAATTTGTCACTTTCCAAAATATAACTTAGATTTTTAAATATATATATATACAAAAAAAATTGTGGTAGGTAGTTGACACTATGAGATATTATCTTAGAGGAATATGTGATAAAAGAAAAAAGAGAAAAAAAAAAGATAGGAATATGGTGAATAACATAACTTAGTAGATAAAATGTTTGTTGTGAGATTCGTAAAAACACATACTTTCATAAAAACACGGAAATCATAGCATAAAGCCAAAAAAACGTCGCTATAAATTTTAGATTTGGCTTCAAATACCAAATGCTCTTATGAATACCTATAGATTTCATACAAATTTAGTGCTAAGCCCAACACATTATAATGCTTAAGTTTAATTTAGTGCAGTTAAAATAGGGTTGTGAAAAATATACCTCGTGTCTCAGACCTCTCCCTTTGATATAATCAAACTCGAACGGTTTAGATTCATGTAATTTATTTAGTCTGCTTTAAATGAACTCAATAAATAAATTATTAGGGAAAAAAAGCAGCTATTATCTCTTATTATCATGCACAAATATTAAGTATATATTTAAATGAATTATCTTATTATCAGCTATATCTCTTGAATTGTTCTACGAGGCTTCAATTATCTTTTTAAAAGGCTAAATTCGTTCAAATTATCATATATTTAAATCAATTAAACTATTATTATCTAAAAAATAAAAAATAAAAAAATACTGATCCAAAAGCTATATATCGATATTTGAAATATTGACTCAAATTTAGAGGAAATTAAAATAATATTTGGGTCAGAAAAGGGACAGTTGATTCAACTCTTGTGGGTGTGGCTTTTGTGTCTCTTGTGGCGAAAAATAATATGAATTTATGATTAATTAATTAAATTTCCCAAAAAGTATATAAGCCTTTTTTGCTGCACGCGTGAATCACGTGAACAAACAATAGAAAAATCTTAAATTAACATTTTTTTTCATATTACTTTTAATAAAAAGCTTCGGTCATATTTTTTCATGCTAAGTATTATATCGTACCTAGTTCCTCCCAAAATATATATATATATATATATGTATATATTGAAAATTTAACGACATTAACTAAAAATAAAAATTCTAAAGATAAAATAAATATTAATGTTTTGTAGTTATTCGATATTTTTCTACAATAATCTATAAAGTTAAATCTACCTGTGATATATGAATTTACCTTATTCAATATAATATATTTACTAATCACACACCACTTATATGAATTTACCTTATTCAATATTATATATTTACTAATCACACACCACTTATATGAATTTACTTTATTTAATATTATATATTTACTAATCACACACCACTTATATATTTCAATAGGAGAAATCCCACATATTACACTATATTAATCTTTCAAAGTTATGAAAATATTAAAAATTGAAAAAGAAAAAAAGATTCTATATTTAATACCGACCTTGTACTGACGGATATATTTGGATGTCCCTATTGCAACAATGTGAATTTGAATTTCAGGAATAATCCCAATTCCCAAGTAAAACCCAACACTCTACACAGTTTAATTTATTATATTTACACTTTTCTACATTTTTTTAAATTCTTCTCCTTATTTTATTCCTTTAAATATAGTACCACGTGTCACTAGAAAACAGAATTTTATTTTAAATAACTTGAAAAAAATAGGAAAAGATTTTGGAGAGTTTCATTTTGGAAAAAATGAAATTTTTTTATTAAAATTGACCATTAGATGGGCAACCTCTCCGTCATATGATATCGTCTTACTTTGAGTATAGACCTTCGTAAATTTACATTTGGTTTCACCTAATCAAATGACTTCATATTAATGAATATGTTAACTTTCACTTATATACAAGAGCGGAGTGAAGAAAACATCTTAATGTCATAATTTAGAAAGTCTAGACAGTTTTCATGCAAAAAAATTAACATGTAAAATTTTGTCCATTCCTAAGAAAATTTATAGCTCCACACAGGTTTATAATATAAATTGTGTCTCTTTGTCTAGCCAATGCAAAACTTTGATTGGATTCCAAATATGAAATAAGTATTACATAGTACATAAACAAACTTTTATTTTGTTAAAAAAATATTTTGTGTCTATTTTATTTATTTTCTATCGGAGCAGTTAGAATTTTCCATTTTAATTTGTAATGTGTAAACCTGTATTTTTCTCCCTAAAAAAAACATAAAATGTGGGATAACCTAAACATTATCAAATGAATTTTATATATTAGTTTTCATATTTATGATTCACGTTATTGGTTGACTTTTATTTTTAAAAAAAATATTGATAAGAAAACTTACTATTTTGACGTGTCTAAAAAAAGTCTTATTTTGTTCTATAATTAATAATAACGTAGTAGATCAATTATAGTTTAATACTTCACTCCACGTGTTTATTAGTAGTAGTAGTCAAAGCGAGCATGATTCAGCAATAATTGACATATATTTCTCGTTAAATATTAAGAGTCTCAAATCCTAATCCTCAAATTTGAAATAACTTTCCATAATTTTTAAATGCATAAACATATACCTCCATAAACTATTTAAAAAAGAAAAAAAAAACTTTTTATATATAAAGCCTTCCCAGAGTCACAACCAAACAAATAATACTTCACCAATTATATTAAATAAGGCCTCCCACTTATGCCATATCTCATGTATTGAATCAAACTATATCCATATTAAATAATACATGAGTTCCACATTAATTCTATTTTAATATTTTAACATTTCAATTTTATTTTTATATATTGATATGCTAGAGGGAAGAAATGAATTATTACTTATACGATCAATCAATCTTTCTCTCTCTCTCGGCACAAAACATATTTTACATTAAAATAATTATTTATATTTTTTAGTACAATATGTAGGGAAAATTTTGAACTCACGATCTTTTGGTCGGAGATAGATGGATGCAGTTGAACTATGTACAGAGTATTCGAACTCACAAGTTTATGATTAGAGATAGGTGTCAATGCCGTTGAGATAGATGCTAATTTTTTTTTTAAACAAACAGAAATTAAAAAGAAAATTAAACGTTGTCAACAAGAAACAAATTAGAGAGCCACGAAGGGAAGTTCAGCGACCACACAAACGATAAACCCTCTTCGCATGCTTTCCTCGCCAAGCTGTGAGCTGTTCTGTTCGCCTTCCTCGAAATGTGGTGAAATCTTTCAATTGGCATGAAATCCGCCACCTTCCGAATATCTTCCGCCAACAAAGAGGTCTCAGTTAGCTCCACAAAGAAATTATTGACGATGTTCACGACTTCCAAGCAATCCGATTTCACCTGAACTTTGATTCCATCCTCAAAGGTGCACAAACGTTTCATCGCTTTGAGCCCTTCTAAAATTGCAAGAATTTTCAAAGCTTTAATAGGTCATTTTCGTTGTAGATGTGTCGACAACCTGTCAAAATGAGTCGTCCTTCCCAGTCACGAACCATCCACCCAATTCCTCCTTCGTTCAAAGAGTGAGATAGATGCTAATTATTTATGTTTTAACCCATATTTTGATCTTCGTAACTTTTATATTAGTTACTTCTTCTTGGGTTTTATACTAAGAACTGGTACGTTTTAGCCCTTTATTTTCAAGTAATCAAATCAAATTAGCATATATTAATAAAAATTCAAGCAATCAATTTTCATTGATTGGGTACCTTGGAATAAGTTCAAAATTCAAGTTTGTGAATAAAAAGAGGCCTCTTGGCAACCTTAATTTGCACAAACTCTTCCATGTCCAACCATTTTTAAAGAGAGAAAAACAAACTAGAAACATGGGTGACGATAGGAAGAAGAGAAAGATGATGATATTGTGAATAATTAACAATTAATTAACAGTGACTGCCCCTTGCTTGAATCAGTCTCTTGATTGTAAAATTTTAAGGCTATCTTGACTCTTTGTTTAAATAAATTTGTTGAGTTTTTAGATTGGAGTTGCAAATTTTGGCTTTGTGCAACTTGCATTGAATTGTGAAGAAGAATGAGTATGATTTATAGAAGTTGACCTGTAAAAATAATAATGGGTTTCGTAGGAGTGAACTTTTTTACTAAAAATAGTAAGTTTATGTAATTGGGATTATAGGAGTTTTAATTATATTTTTTGGATTGGCAAATTTCTAACATGAACCAAGTGCAGTCCTAAATTCAAACATGGTTATTGGTGATGCTAATTAACGACGAAACTCCAATTTCATTGTTGAATCGAATGTCACATTCAACGACGAATATAGCATTCGTCGCGTAGAGGGCGGTATTTTTAACCACCCACAATATTAACGAAAGTTTATGAGTTGGACCTTCAACGACGAAACTCTCTTTGGCGACGATTTTTTACGGCGTCGTCAAAGATTCCGTCGTTGAAATTTAAAATTCTTGTAGTGCTAAAATTCGATCAAGCTGAGTTGGCGAGATTTTTTATGTTTGCAACGTTTACATTTGGAGGGTTACCTACAACTAGCAAAACTCAACACTAGATGGTGTTCACCCTGTGATACCTAAGTCAGTGTATCTTCAGTCGTACCACCAGCCAGTGTGTATGGACTGAAGGTATCGTAGCTGTCGGCATGAGTCATTTTATTAATAAACTACCATTCAACCCAAAAACTATTCATTTATGAGTACACTCCCTCTCACTTGTGGACTTCGAAAGTTACATCAAGACCCAACAGGTGGAAATCAATATAAAATAGGGAGGAAATGACTATACACGAACACATGACCACCCGTTCTGATACCATATTAAGGATGAATAAACGACCATTCAGTCCCTAAGCTTCAACTTATAGGTTGGGTAAATTTAATTCATTTATGAGTATCTAAATGTATGGCAGGTTGAAAAATATTGTGAGCATTGTACCCTCTTATATGTTATATATTATCAAAGCTCAAATATGTATAGAAAATATCTCTCTAAAGAACAATGTCAAAAAAATTGAACTTGACCAATCTGATTCTCCGTGTCGTAAATGTTGAAACTTAATTATAAAAAGAAAAAAAAAATTGGTCATCCACCGTAATTGAATTCTACTAAGAAAAATAGGGCAGTCTTAAAAAATCCTCTCTTATTATTTTTTTCCAAACATTTTAAAAAGATGCGACACGAGAACTTCCCAAGTAGTTATCTAACTTATTCTCTCATATTATTTTAATGTTCAGTATCAATTTATTGTTCAAATTTAATTGAAAATATTAGATAGCACTTCTCCTACCGTTACTTTTTTAGTGTTTGAAAATAATATTTATTAATATTATTAAATTATAATTAAAATTAATTTCATGATTTAAAGTAAACAACTAAGAATAAAATAGGTAAAAATATGTAATTCAAAAAATTTAAATTGTCAGAACATTTATTAAATAACTAAAATTGAAATGAATTTTCTTAAACACAATTAAAATGAAATATTAAATGAGGAACAAAAGGAAAGCAACAAGTTTCTCCGCCTCTTAGTATTGGTTTTTTTTAAAAAAAAAAATCAAATTTTAAATGATATGTTATATTATATTATATTACTGAAAACCAAAAATAAAAATACTTATATCATTTATACATGTCATCATAATTATTAAAGATTTTTTAGAGATTTAGTCACAAAAAATATATAGTCGCATCAGTTAAAATAATAATTCTAATCTTAAAAAAATATCCAAGCCAACTTATACGATTTATCTCACTGGACAAGTACTTGATCCAATTACATTTGATTGTCAAAGAAATTCGTAGAATATCAAATTTTAGATGGGTGATCACATCGTTTGAACTAATTCTTTTCAAATGCTTTAGAATTTACCATCCCTCGGAAAAATATATATAAATTTTCTCTTCTATAGTTACATCATTTTGACTTTTTTTTAATTTGATATTTTTTTAATTTAAGAAAACTAAAATAAAAAAAATTAAATTACAATAAATAAGTAAAATTGCAAAAAAGTTAGGATTGCGGAGTTAGAAGGCATACAATGGAATATGTGATAATTAAATTTGCAAAAATGTTCTTTGAAATAGTAAAGGTAATAGACAAAGGCCACGACTCACCTACGGTATATAGTTGAGTCAACTTCACTCTTACCCATCAAGTTACTTAACAACACAAATTTCGATTTGACAAAAATCTTCATATATTAGTAGAGGAAGTTCAAACCCTCGCTCAAGAACTCTAGATCACATATTTTAATGCGATGCACGAGAGATGGAAATACGTGGTTGAAGAAAGTAGCTAAAAAACATGTATTGTAATAAAATAAAATAAAATGTCTTCCTCGAAGTTTAGTTTTCTTGTTTTATTGATTTTTTGTTCTAAGAAATTAAAAATAAAAATTATAAAGTAAACATATTCTAATATTTTAAACTTGGAAAAAATATACAAGATGTCAGGATGGCCGAGTGGTCTAAGGCGCCAGACTCAAGTTCTGGTCTTCGTGAGAAGGCGTGGGTTCAAATCCCACTTCTGACAACTATTTTTATTTTAAGATATTAATTACAAAGGATAAATAAACGTATCAATTTTATAATTTGGTAAATGTTTTTCTTTTTTTAATTATTATTATTTCGCCAACAATGCAGCTAAGGCAAAGGCTCCGTTCCCGACCCTGTTTTTCTTTTTCATTTTTTGTTTATTAAAATTTTATATCAATTTTTAAAAATTATTTAAAATGGCAAATTATATAAATTTTAAAGAGAATAATTATGGTGGAAAAAATATTTTTTATTTTAACTCAACAAATTATTATTTTTCCAACAACGCAGTTGCTTCCCTTGGTATTTGTTGTATGCATCTGCTCGTATTTGGATTGCAATATTCTTACGAATTATTATTTTTTGTGTTAAAATCGTAGTAATAAAAATTTTAAATTTAGAAATTCTGTTTAAAATATTTATTATTGAAGTGCAATTGCTCTTTATCTAAGTGGCTCTAGCAAATTATTATTAGTTAAATTTACCATCTTAATAAGTTGCTCGTTTTGTATATCTTCATTCCACTTTTTTTTAATGTAATTGTACTTTTAATATTTACTTGTTCATCGTCTCAAGTAAATAATATTTCTGTTATAAGTTTTTCTGAAAAGACAGCCCAATAAAATTAATTTTATAAGTTCTTAAAAGTCAGATAATTACAGGACAAGAGATTAAAACATCAATTTTAGGATTGTAATATGTGTCTTATCCACCAAACTACAATTAATTGTAGTTTTATGTCTTTGAATTAAGAATGCAAATAAATAAATATAACGAAGATATTTAAATATTTTCTAAACCATACATTTAAGGAACATTGAATAATCATATTATTATTACTCTCCATGCAATGAAAGTTATTAATCAAGTCAAAAATGTTAAATTTTGGTAGGAAAGAATTTATCTATTATAAAAATATCCTTTTATTAACATGTCAACGTGCCACTCGAATTCTATTTAACACATTAAATCAATCTATCAATCAACAAAATTCATTCTTTTTTCTAGACACGATGCTTCGAGATATAAGCAAATGATTTAATAGCAGAACTAATTTCAAAAAATGAAAAGAAAAAAAAGGGTTCACCAATGACAAGATGCCATGTGGGCAAAATCTTGCAAGGCCAAGCACAGTGAGGACAAGAGAGCTGAGTGAAGGAATGCACAAATGGCACCAATCAGAACCTCTAAAGCCTTATCCAAAAATCAATAATCTGATCTCTTCCCACCATTTTTGTTCTTCTTCTTCTTCTTCCCCAATCCAAATCCAGACCCCACCAATTTTCCTCCACACACACAAAAAATCCCATTTACACAAAATCCCCAATCCCACTCCATTGCAGTTGCATGCCCTTCTCAAGCCACCAGCAGATTCACTAGCCCAATGGCCTCCACCGCTTGTTTTCTTCACCACCACGCCCTCACCACCGCCGCCGCCGCCAGGTCCTCCGCGTCCCCGCGCCAGGTCGCGCCGCCCAAGCCTGCGCAGCACCTCCTCTGCCGTGCCCAGAAACAGCAGGCCTCTACAGAGGACGACGGCGGCGTTGTGTCTCGCCGCCTGGCTCTCACCGTCCTCATCGGTGCCGCTGCTCTTGGCTCCAAGGTTTCTCCGGCTGACGCTGCCTATGGAGAAGCTGGTAAATCTATATCACCCATTTGGCAATATGAACTAACGAAACATCTCTGCTGCAATTCACATGAAACCCTTAGGAGTTTGTCAAATTTCGTTTGATGCATTTTAGCAGAATCTTGATTTGTTGTTTTTGCAGCTTGTCTGTGTTATGACATGGATGGTTTGAAATTTTTAGTAGAAGTTATTGCAATTCCATTCTTGAGATCCTTGTTATTGAGGAAGAAATTTACCATATCAAGGCTTCTTACAGTTTCCACGACATATTCATACTTCTTCAAGATCATAACTCATAAAAGGATGTTCTTAGACAATCTGTTATGGGTCATTTTGTTGAATTATATGCAATCTAAAAGTATGCATTAAGTTAGTGTTAGTGAAGTCTGATGTGGGCTCTCTTTTCTCTCTTATTCTTGTCCACTGCAGCTCTTTTGTTTGTTTTCTTTGTATAGGCTCTTTCTGCAGTGGAGTTTTATCCTTTGATGTATGTTCTGTTCATAACGAAATCTTGGTTTTTCATAAAATTAAAAATAAAAATCTGCAGCCAATGTGTTTGGAAAGCCAAAGAGCAACACAGACTACTTGCCATACAATGGAGATGGATTCAAGCTTTCAATTCCTTCAAAGTGGAACCCAAGCAAAGAAAGGGAATTCCCAGGCCAAGTTCTTAGATACGAAGACAACTTCGATTCCAACAGCAATCTTAGTGTAATTATTAACCCAACTGACAAGAAATCCATCACCGACTATGGCTCCCCTGAAGAATTCCTTGCCAAGGTAACACTCTCACTCGCATTTGAACTCTCAACTCTACTTCGATCAGTTATAGTCCTCCTCTTAATACATTTTGCTTGTCATTGTCAATCTCTTCAAACCAATTATTTGATATTAACTCGACAGATCGAATATATTTAGTGAACCAAGAAGGAAATAACAACTTTCAGGAATGGATATTAATTGTTTTCAAGAACTATGATGGATGCAATGCTAAAAGTTAAAGTTATTGTCTACTTGAAATCATTAATCACAGGCATATGCTCCCTGTCGCTGTTTGGTTATGTTAATGTTGACTTCAGTTCAGATTTGGTCTGAAACAAGACAGTTCAGTTGATGTGCTTCAATTTGGTCTTTGCAGGTTGACTATTTGCTGGGGAAACAAGCCTACTTCGGAAAGACTGCTTCTGAGGTAATTTGAGAAAAACTACATTATAGATTGAAAAATGATTCATTGCCATTGCATCTCATACAAACTCAAACAGGAATATACTTTCTTCTGTTTTCAGACACAAAACTCAATAAGAAATGCCTACTTTCTGTTGTCTTAGCAAAAAAATTTTCGAAGGACTTCGGTTCTTATATGTTATGTTTTTGACCAACTCCAATGCCAACTCCGAGGGACAAGAAGGATTCTAAACCATTAAGGCATCTCCCGTCTGATAATCATTTTGTTTTTTGATTTTCTGTTTTTGAAAATTAAGCTTATAAACACTACTTTCACCCATGTATTTGCTTTCGTTTTGCATCTATTTTTTAAAAGTATTTTCAAAATCCAAGCTAAAATTTGAAAACTAAAAAAGGTAGTTTTCAAAGACTTGTTTTTGTTTTTGAAATTTGTTTAAGAGTTCAAATATGTTTCTCAGAAAGGTTAAAACATACCAAAGAAATTGTGAGGAAGCAAGCATAATGTTTGAGAACATAAAACTAGGAACGAAATAATTATCAAACGAGGTCTAAATTTTCCACTTCAGGCTTTCAACCTAATATCTCTCCAAACATCTTAAACTCTCACTACCAAGGCCATCTCTGCATGTTGCATTTGAATCATTCTCAATCGAATCAACTAGATATCACATATTGACATCTCGAAATTGATCAGGGTGGATTCGACCCAGACGCAGTGGCAACAGCGAATGTGTTGGAGAGTTCGGTGTTGAATGTCGGAGGGACGCCGTACTACTTCGTGTCTGTGTTGACAAGAACTGCAGATGGAGATGAGGGTGGGAAGCACCAGCTGATCACAGCCGCTGTGAAGGATGGGAAGCTTTACATTTGCAAGGCACAAGCAGGAGACAAGAGGTGGTTTAAAGGAGCCAGGAAGTTTGTGGAGGGTGCAGCTAGTTCTTTCAGTGTTGCTTAAGCTTGAGAGAGAGAGAGAGAGAGAGAGAGAGAGAGAGAGAGAGAGAGAGGTGTTTGTTGTATATTATGGAGAACATTATCTTGACCAATGAAAGGGATTGTCAATGTTTGTTATTGAAATGCTGTTAATGGCCTTATTTTTTTGTGGTTCTCCACAGTTGTTAAGGGTTGGGTTAATGAAGCTTAAAAGGAAGGACCATCATTCTACTTTTCTCTCTTTCTCTCATCATTGACAAAATATACAGCATTACATAGTTTAAAATAGGTTAAATTAGTACTAAAAAACATGTTAAACTGCAAATTTGATCGCTATAGTTTGGACTATATTGTTTCAATTGGTTCATTATGGATTGAAAAGATTCAATTTGCTTCCTAAAGTGGGGCATAGTTTCAATTTGGTTCAGTTACGTCAAAGGAACTTACGTTAGCTGGAAGAATTTGTTGTGCAACTTGGAAGGATAGGAATTTGGTCTATAGTAAAAAAAGAAATTTAGAGAGTAAATGCGAAAAGTTTATGGATCGTGGATTATGTGGAGGAATTTCATAAAAATAGAGATGGGTGTAGGGAGCGGAATGAGAAAGGACATTGCACAAGATTTTGGAAACGTACGCAAACGGAGTTTCACAGAGATTAACACATATGCAGCGTGTGATCATTGACAAAAACTAATAGAGATTGACATTACGAAATAATGAGGCAGCCCACCATATATGAATGGCGTCTATTGGGATTGAAATTATTTTCTTTCTTTTGGTGTCTGATTTCCCCTCTCGACTTTAAAAAAAAAAAATAGGAACCATTTGTGAGGACAAAACCATAGTGACCTAATTCACACTAAAATCATTAGGATCAAATTAAAATTAAGCAACCTATGAATTTTGTAATTTAACTTTTAATATATCAGGTTTATTTTAGAATGGGTCATGAGTCTATGAAAAGGAAATGAATAATTAACTTTTTATCCTAAGGATTGAGAGAGAATGTTTCACTTTATCTGTGTAACAAAAGAAACATTTCTACCCCCATGAGATTTGAGCAAATTGTTCATCCCACGATTGTAAAACTAAAAAGTATATATACTATATATGTTAGTATTATTTTAATGAAACAAGTAGAAAATGGGTTTTATTAATTTTATATAGTCTAATTTTAGGCTTCATTTAATTCAATGAAATGGAGATTAACAAATTAATTAAACATTGAAGAGACTGTTAAGTCGTCATTGCTGGATAGAATTACGTTCCTTGTAAAGTCTCAAGCTATCCAGGTTAGTTGGAGACAAACAACTTTTTATTTTTTATCTCTCATATATTAAAGAGTCTTTATTAATTGACTTACAAGTTAATAATTTATTTTTTAGTTATATTACTAATAGTATTTCTTCTAATAAAAAATTATACTAACTTTTTTATATAATACTACAAATTTCTATTTAATTGATCAATTATTTAATAATTCTGTTATTATTAATTCCTATTAATGAAATTGTTGAAATGGAGTTCATAATTATTAGATACTAGAACAATAAAATTCAATCATATTATATATTCATAATGATTGTTGTAAATTGTAATAAAATGTACATTAATCATTTTATATGGTTGATAAATTGTTATAATACAAAATATTTACTCTCGAGAAAATAAAATAAATTTTATTATTCTTTTAATGAAAAATAAATATTAACACATTTTGTAGTTAACATATTTATAATTATCTATAATAATAAATAAGTATACTGGTAATTGTAATATATCTAAGTCTAGTTAAGTTCCGTAAACAAATCAACCCGTTTCTAATTTTAGATTTTTTTGGGTTCCTTATTTCTTATTATTTAAATTCTCTGTAAGTTATATATATATATATAAATTCCCTCTAAGTTAATGAAGCCTTGTATTGGTAAGTGATATTTTCTTTTTAATCTTTTGAGTACTATTAGCAAGTGATTTTGGTACTAATATTGTCTTGTTTTCAAAATTCAAGAGCTATGATATAACGTTTTGAAACTTAAATCATAGCGAATATTTATTAAGTCTTCTTTACTTATTTGTTTGGTACATCGAATTTTGAGATTCCAAAATCATAGGACGCATTTCAAATTCAACGAATTCGGTTGTTTGACACTACATGATATTGAATGATTTGAAATCTTATGTTTTACATAAAAAAAGAAATCTAGATCAAAATAATCTAATTCGGTTGTTTGACACTATATGATTTTGAATGATTTGAAATCTTATGTTTTATATAAAAAAAGAAATCCAGGTCAAAATAATCGGATTTTACAGGATTTCGTAAAATTTCAAAGTAAATTACCTATTTAACCTTGTCATATTTTAATTTCTATATAATAAATCTATATTGAAAACTCAAATCAGTAAAATTTTTATTTATTTTTTCATATCCAGCGTCCAAACAAAAAAAAAAGTTAATTTAATTTATTTAAAATCATTCTCGTTTCAAACGAGATAAAGAATTTTAAATCGTTTATCGGATTTCAAAACACGGAATTTAAAATTATTTCTCAAATTTTCTTAATGTCAAACAAAAGGTAACGAAATCAGAATTTTTCTCTAAGATATATGATTGAAGTCAAATGATGAAATTCACTTCAAATTTGAGAATCATTTCCATGTCCCACTCAGAACTTTTTAATTAAATGTTTATTTATACTTCTAATAATTTCTCTTCTATAAAAATTTTTATTTTTTTACTACAAATGTTGGAACGAAGAATCGAACCTCTAATCTCTAACCAATGAGCAAGATGCCTTAACGAACCAAATTCGTGTTGATTACATTAATAATTTTATAACGATGATTAAATAAATTAAATAAATAATATTCTTATTTCGATTAATTTCTTTTTTAAAAAGTATACGGGCTAATATTAACCTAACTCTTGACAAGTATCAAAATAATATTTAACTCAAACAAATGATTCGCACA